GCCAGGAACTCGGACTTGGCGCGGTTGGCCGACTCGGCCGCCTCCTTGGCTTGCAGGATGGCACGCTCGCGCATGCGTTCGCGGGTCACGTCGTGGGCGGTGCCGCGGTAGCCGGCGAAGGCGCCGCTCTCGGGCGCGTAGACCGGCACGGCCGAGAGGCGGAACAGGTAGGGCCGCCCCTCGCGGCCGGTCATCTCCACCTCGACGTCGCGGAACGGCCGTCGCCACTGCTCGGTCAGCAGCGCGGTGAGCTGCGGCGACTGCCCGAGGTCGAGCAGGCTGCGCCCGAGCAGCAGGCGGGGATGCTGGCCCAGGGTCTCGCTGACGCGCTGGCTGACGAAGGTCAGGCGAAGCTCGCGGTCGGTCTCCCAGACCCAGTCGCTGACCAGGCGGACGATGTCCTCGAAGCGCTCGCGCATGTCTTCCAGGCGCGTGCCGGTCGGGGCCGCCGGCGCCCGCGACAGGCGGCCGGAGATCAGCCGCAGGCTGCCGTCGGCGGCGAGGCAGACCGAGAGGTCGACCAGCAGCGTCTCCTCGCCGCCGGGCAGCGCGACGCGCTGGCGCTGGCGCGGCAGGGTGCGCCAGCTATCGCCGCGCAGCTCGGGCGGCGCCGGCTCCTCGCAGGTGGCGCAGGCCTCGGCGATCAGCCGATCCATCAGCTCCGGCGCGGCGGCCTCGAGCAGGGGCAGCAGGGCCTGCATCGCCGCGTTGGCATGCAGCAGCCGGCCGTCCGGGTCGGCGAGGAAGCTGGCCTCGGCCTCCTCGCATTGCCGCTGCAGGCCGAGCAGCAGCAGCTCCTCCACCGCGGGCGCGGCGTCGAGGGGGCTCGCCTCGCCGGGCGTCCCGGCGGCCGCGTCGCCCGACTCCGCGGCGTCGCGCGCCTCGGGCGTGGGGCGATCCGGGGACGCGTCGCCGCCCGTTATGCGGGACGACCTGTCCGCATTGGCGGGGCGCGGTCGGGCGCGGGCATCAGCCATGGTGCTCGGCATGTCCGGGGGTCATTATCCGGCAACTCGGTTCAGCCGGCCTTCTTCGACCCGTTTGAGCGCATAGAGATACTCCGGATTGCGCTGCCAGCGGCGCAGCACCTGCTGGGCCGCCTCGGGCTTGACCCGGTCGAACAGCGCGATCACGCGGGACAGCTCGCGCGGGTCCACCACCTGGTCGCCGGGGCGGCCCTTGCGGCTGAGCAGGAAGACCGAGGTGAAGCTGGGCTTGTCGACCTGCAGCGCCCGGCAGGCGATCACCAGCCCCTCGCCGCCGGGCTCGTAGATCAGCCGCCCCATCAGGCGCCGGCGCAGGCCGGTCATCTCCGCGAACATCGCCTCGAACAGCGCGATCTCGCCCTGGCGCAGGGTCTTGACCAGCATGTCGGGGGTCAGGCGCCGCTCCTCGGCCAGGCGGCGGGCCAGCCGGCTGGCCGCGTCCTCGGCCGGCTCGCTGGCCGTCTCCGGCACGGGCAGCGTCTCGACCGTCTTCTCGGTGATCTCCTCCAGCAGATCGTCGAGCTCGGTGGGGTCGATGTCGAAATGGTCGAGCACGTAGCTGCGCAGGGCGGCGCCGACCCACAGGCACATGCGCCGGGCCAGCTCCGGCGAGAGGTCGCTGCGCCGCACCAGCGGTTCCTGGTAGGTGTCGACGCGCCGGCTCTCCTCGACCAGATACTCCAGGGTCGCCTCGGAGATGCGGGCGTTGGGGTTGTCGAGCAGCGCCTTGATGACGTCGGCGTTGCCCGCTTCCACCAGGGCGTCGGAGACCTGCTCGCTGACCTCCCGGCGCATCGCGATGGAGAGCTGGTGCTGCTGCGTGCGGTGGCGCACGATCTCGATCAGGTCGATGTCGCGCAGCACGTTGGAGGTGAGCAGCACGGGGCGCGAGACCTCGATCTCGTCGTTGGCCAGCAGCTTGACGATCTCCAGCGGCGCGTCGTCGCGCTGCGCCAGCCGCTCGCTCAGCTCGCGGCGGACCCGCATCTCCACGTCGCGGATCAGCTTGCAGAGGATGTCGGTCATCAGCGCGCGTTCGCGCTCGTTGAGGTAATGGCTCTCCTCGGAGAAGAGGTCCGTGACCGTGTCCAGCAAGCGCCGCCGACCCTCGGCGGACTTGTTCCGGGCCAGGCCCAGGAGCTGGTCGAGTTCGCGATGGACGCCCATGTTCACGTCAGTCCTTCGAAGGCGCTCGGTCCCGCGCGCCCTCCGGCGGCGGATCGGCGCCGCGGCGGCCGGGGCTGGCGGCTCCGTCCCCTCGGCGTTGCCGACCGGTATGCATCTGGGCGTCAGGGTTGAGCGGACGGCGTAAATTTTGTCTTAAAGCGGCGGTATTTCACCGCGCCATATCAGGAGTTTAGCACGAATTTCTAAGGTTGGTGCCGGGCGCACCCCTTGTGGCGTAAGGCCTTCGGATAGGTTGCGCCGGCGCAACGGGCGATGGGCCGGGGGGTGCGCCGGGGGGTGCGCCGGGGCCGCAGCGGGGCGGTGCGCGCGGCCGCCCGGCCGGCCTTTACCTTCGGTTAAGCTTTGCTGCTTTACCCTGGCGACATGGAGATCAACACGGGACAGGTGCGTCTCGGCACCGACTTCTTCCAGGCGCTGCAGGGCCTGCCCCGCGCGGAGCAGGCGCCGATGCCGGGTGCCGCCGCCGCCAACAAGGCGGCCGCCGCGGTGTCCCAGCCGGTCAGCGCCGAGGGGATCGAGGCTGCAGAGTCCGCGGCCCGCGCCGCCGCCGAGTCCGGCGAGATGAAGCCGCGCGGCACCTACCTCGACCTGCGCGCCTGAGTTTTCCTCGACGAGCTCTCCCTTGCGAACGGCCGGCGGGCGGGCCCGTCGCGACGGGCCATGCCGACAACCGGCGTTCAGGCGGCGTTCAGGCGGC